TATAACACCAGGCAGGCGGCAAGACTAAAACAGTCACGGTTAGCAGGAAGAATCACTATATTACTCCGATGATGGAACCAAGAGTGATTCCGAAACGTCAGTTCATGGAGTCTTCTCTTCTTCTTTGGGGTATGCTGGATATTCATTGGAAAGATCCAGACTGCTTAGATATTCATTTTTTACCGAGTTTGGTTTTTGTGGGCGAACAAGAAGAAGTTCTTTCAAAATCCCACCGGGGTATCTCGGGGTCAGGCTTTACTTTCAACAATACTACATCCGCGCGTAGATAATTCTCGCCAGTCGAGTGGGAATTAAAAATTTCGGTAAACCGTTCACGAGGTAGGCAAGCTATTGTAGAACCATGAATTGGATGTGAAGGTTCGAGTTCCCAGGCTGATCGAGTGCCGGAACAATTTTCTATTGTTCTGAGCTTTCGAAATCCTGTAGGCGTTCATCTTCAGAGATCGCAGCAGCAAAAGAAAAAGGAGGTACAAGCCAATTAATGATTTATGACGCAAGTCTAAGGGTGACTGCGCAGGGCTCTGTATGCTGGCGCCAGATCGATACATTGATTAATCCAGTCTTATCGGAGGACTGGGCTTCAATCAATGCTCTGCTCGTCTTGCCTTCGGTGTGCGCAATTATCTTGACGACTGCAAAGTTAAATTCATGGCCTGGTGCGTAGGTGTACGACAGCTACATGTGATAATCCGGCGTCCCGTCCTGTAGCACAGCAAACTTTTGCTCCTATATGCGTGATTCGGACATGCGTTCGGTCTGGTCTGTGTATTTAAAAGGATAGTTTAGGCATGAGGGGCGCTACACTGTTCTAGATTTCTGCCTGGGATTTGGCCAGTCTTCTATTTTCATCACCCCGTTGCGCACGGTAGCTGTGGGCCGGTGTGCATTGCCAAGACCTAGTTCTGCAACAACGTGTTCTGCCACTTCGAGGCGTCCTTCCTGAATGGCAGAGCCTGCCATATCCTTGGTGGTGCTTGAGTTTGGGTCATCCAGGGCCAAACTTGGAGACATAAAAGTCTTCGGACAGCCAATTCGCACAAATTAATCGCAGAAATATCGGGTCTTGCGTACTTTTTCCTCTGGTCTGTTTTCTATCGGCACCAATGCCAGTAATTCCACGCACGACTGTTGCTTAGCTACCCTAGTTAATTCCTCGTCTTTCTTCACCCCCCCGCACTTCATCTCATCCCCCCTCTTCATTCCTTTTGCCCCTCCTTTGTCGTCACCTTGTTCAGAATTCCCTATTATTTGTCACAAATGCAAACTTTGGCCTCCCTAGCAATTACTATTTGGCCTTATGAACTAGGGCAGCGTATTGCATTAATTCTGACTTAATGCAATCTCCGCAAAGAAAATTCCGTTTCTATGATTTTGTTGATTTGTTATTTACAGCCAACAAAGAATCTACTGTGGTGGGTTCTGACAAATTTTAATCGTAAGTAGGCTCAGACGCCGACCCTGTCGGCACTTTTCTTCAAAAAAGACAATTGGTTCTGCTCAGGGGGTACGCTAAACAGGCTTCTCTTATTGGGATTCGTCTTCGCACCCATGTTCAGGTACTACATGTGGCCTTAGTCACGGGCGGTATTTGTGGGTTGCATTTCCTGTCTCCCAGTCTACCCTAAAAACCGGCCAGGTCTCTTTCGAGCACCTATCCGATTACCCTACTCACAAATATTGCTGTCCACCGACACTATCGTTTGGCAATGACGTTTCTCAGCAGTGCCATCCAACACCTCGTTTATGCTCACAGCCCCCACCCAAGTCGTTTTTGCGGGCCGAGATTTTATAAACAATACAATAGGGAAGGATCGCTATGCGGAAGGATTGCCTTCGGAGTTGAGGGTCACTTGGTTGTCGTTGCTTTCAGAGGGGTGCCGTCCCACTGAAGCGGCCGTTGTTGACCAGAAAGTGACTCCTTTCGTCACTTCTGAACCTCCGAGCCAGCGGGCCGTAGGCCTCCTATCGTTCAGGGACTTAAATTAAGCCTTGACTTTGATTGTTTAAGTTCAGCGATGATACCCATTTAAGCATTCAAGAAGCCACGTTCGGCGAACGTCTGTTTTCGATTATTCATCACCAGGCAAGGACAGACTGCAGTTTTGGACCTCTTCAATGTGTATCTACGTGTTAACTTGCTCCTGTGGGGCAGGTTATATTGATTGAACAACTAGGCGTCTCAGAAGAAGAAGAAAATGCGATCACTGGAACAACCGTTTTATTTGCCTGACGTTTCGGATTCCCTTGGGAATCCTTAATCATAGGTGATGATAACATAGTCATGGTCATGCGCAACTAAGCGTCTATCCGAACGAACGCCATAACACCATCCTACCTGGCTAAACCAAGGCGTGGTAAAATCCATATCTAGCGCTATTTTGGCTCACTCGAGTGACCAGTAAGGTGTCTACCAAACACTCCAAGTTCCTTCGTCAACTGATAGCTGCGACGGGAGAAGCAGTCGCCATAAGCCTAACTTATCTGATTTTGTGCGCACAGAAGGCATTTATACAGGCACTAAGACTCCCTTGGCCGAAGACGTACTCAGAGTGCGTCTTCACGCCTCCTACCACATCGCGAGACAGCGGCAACATGAACAAATTATGGGACCCTGCCCCTTCTCCCTCTCTGACCTCTTGCCATGACTGGAATCCGACTCCCTGATATCTGAACACCTCTCCCCTTACTGTTGATTGGATGTTTAAACGCTTGTAATTCTATCCGCCCATATAATATAAAGGGGGGTGATGATGATGATTAAAAACGTAATCGAAAAAGTACGTTCGCCTAACTTGACTTCTTGTACACCCTGACTCTTCGGACAGCGTCGTGTCCGGACGTATTTTGTCTCCATTTTGTCAATCACAACCGCCAGGGACAAGAAACGCATACAGTGGTCAAAGTTATAATTGGCCGAATTAAAATAAAACGAACATCAATGTATCCATCCATATCCCCCAGCCCCGCCTATCGGAACTTGGTCGGATTCGGCCTGGCAGATGGTCGTCCGTTTATCACCTCTGCCACCCATTCAGAGACACTTTGCTTCGAGAAACCAATGCATCTGTGTGCGCCCATTTGTATACTTCAAAATGCGTTTTTGTTTAATCTTTCATTGTGTTACGCTTATTCGCTACGTGTCGATGAGGTGGCATTAACTTACATATTCAAATATCATTCTGCCCATTTAATAGCTGGTTATTTTCATTCGGTAGATAAGTCTCGGAGTCGAGCATAGTGTGGCTCTGACGGATACCTCTGATGTCTACGTCTGGGGTTCCAACACTCAGGGCCAGCTTGGCTTGGGTTTCGTATCTCAGGCCTCCGTCACCACCCCAACCCGCATCGAGTGTTTAGCGGGCCTCCCAGTTCGTCAGTTGGTTGCCGGTGGCTATCACAACCTCCTCCTTACCCCCAGT